GCGCGTACGTCACGCACGTCGTCGCCGTCGTATATCGCGAAATGATAAATGACTTTGCGAGAGACCGTCGTCGCGCGATCGAGAGTTTACATTACTCTCGACAAATATAATGTATAGTACGCGCACAAATATGCTGACGCAATTCGATGGAAAATACATCTCGAGTGAATTTTCGTATTCCGTCTCTGCGATCTGTATGTGTCTCTTTCTCTCTCTCTCTCTCTCTCTCTCTCTCTCTCTCTCAGTTCGTCTCTGCAGAGAGATTAAAATTCGATTGTCAAAGAGAAGCGGAATCTTGGTATCTCTCCCAATCCCCGGGAACAACGGAACGTCGAAGACGTTCAATTTTTCATGAACGCCGCCGTCGCGCGTACTCGGTATTACACCGCTCTCCTTTATGCATAGCGCATTTGCGTGCGCACGAATTTGTTCACGGACGAACGAAACACACACACCTAACCACTCGAGAGCGCGCAAACCTGATAAATGTAACTGCCCGAGTTTCGAAGTGACGAAACTGTTGTCCGTCCTTTGTTTCGATCTCACCACTTGGGACGCGCTAAAAGAAAAGTTTGCGTCAAGGATACTGGTCGCGTTTGTGGGATTTGTTTTTGAAAGATAAGCGCAACGCGCAGAAGAAAGAGAATCGTGCAACGTTATCGTTAGCTAGCTATATTTTCGTAAAGTAAGTAAAAAAACAAAATTGCAAGTAAGTTTTTTAATCACATCGGAATTTATCCACGTCTCTATTTTCATCATTAAAATGACAATGCGAAACAATTTGACGTCTTGGATCGTAAAGAGAATCTATTATTAGTTTTCGGATGTGTTTTTTTGTTACATTTTTATTTTTTTTCTCCGCCTTATCGCTACGGCACGCGCTTGTAATGTAGACCGTTAAACTTCTCTTCTCTTGCCTTCGGCAGCGACCACTTTTGAAATTGACTCTTTTTCCTATTGTCGCCGCTAGAGTCGAGTTCGCCCTGGCATGAGCCGTTCTCTTCCTCGTCCCTTCGAGAGAGCTGTGCCTCCGTTTTCTTTTGTCGCTAAACCCCGGCTTTGCTTTTACTTACTACTTCACCGGGAAATCCATCCATTCGTCCTCGAAAGGTTGGCGTCCCGCCGCGTCGTCGGAGGGACGATCGCGCTAAGTGGCAGATTCAGGCTGATCGAAAGCCGACCGGAGATGGAGAAAGAAAAAAAAAGACACACACACAAGTCTCCGCGCTGAGGAAGCTGAGGGGCGAGTCGGAAGAAGAGTCGGACTTAAACTCGTCGAAAGGGTTCACACGGGCGGGTCGAAAAAGAAAAACGAAACGCGTCGATACAAAGTGCTGTTTACGCCATTTTCTATCTCCTCTCTTTTCAACCGTTTCTATCTCTATCTAATTCCGCGGCTTTTTTCCCCAATCTCGCGTTTTTTCTTTTTCCTCTTCTTTCTTCGCTATTAGTCATATGTATTTTTCCTCGCATGCTATTTTTCTCAACTTCCGACTAGGCGTCGGATCATTCGAGCGCGAAGTTTTCCTACTCTCAAGAATTTTGTATTGCGCACGTGCGCGCGCATGTTGAGATACATTGTTTGTTTATAAATTAGATACTTGTATTTACAAGCTGACTTGGGAGAGAGAAACATGTGTGTACGGTGTTATCTTAGCGAGATCTCAGCGAAAAGACCCCGAGGCAAGTAAATCTCCTCTCTGTCTTTTTCCTTCGGTCGCGTGTGATCTTCCGTTCGAGAAGATGCCAGAAGATATTTCTTTCTCTCCATCTTCGCTCTCGCCGTCCCGTCAACTTAAAAAATGGCGGCGTTTTTCCACTTCATGCCACGCAAGAGACACGGGACCGCCATATCCACCCCCGGCAATTTGCATTTTTTTCCTGTCTGTTTCGTATACCGGTGTCTGATCCGGGAGGGTGACAAAGAGGAAGGTTGATGGGTGGATCGCCGCGCGGATAAAAGTGTGTCTTTGCAATGACCTTTCGCAGCGTCCGCGACAGAAGAATCGCAGTAAATCTCTCGCCCGACACACAGGCGAAGGGAGGACGGACCCATTGATTCCCCTCCCTCTCACGATCGAATGTGAAATCCACCCTTTTGCAGCTCCGTGCGCATTTGTCGGCGACGGTGGCTACCAGGGTAAATAATGTAGAAGAACTCGTGGAGGACGTTAGACAACAAATAAATCAGCCCCCCCCCGTGCCGGGTTCCGCGCGGTGGTAATCTTCGTGATGGCCGAAGCGCTCTTTGTCGGTGTTCTCCGAGGGATCGTTTCAACCGATCCGAGAAACGACGGCGACTGTCTTTTATTTTTCTCGCCGGCGCTATCGATCAAGCTCTCGGCGAAGTGGTCGCCTCGCATTACACATCTATTCTTGATGAAAGCGGATCGAGGACCGATCCATTTTGATGACGCTCGTAAAATCGTCAAGCGCAGCGAGCGAAAAGTGCATTAAAGCGATTGTGACGGCTAAATAGATAAGTAGATACTTTGGATTGTGAGATCGACACAAAAGAAAGAGCGCAAATGTTTAAACTTGAGATTGAACGACATTTTCTCGCAAACTCGCGAATTTCAAATAATTATTGAAATTTTACATTGTGTGTGTGTGTGTGTTTTTTTTTCACTCTTGTCGCGGAAAAGTAAAATAAATAAACCACAATTGGAGTGTAATTGAAGTGTCAGCGTTTTCCAAACTACCGTTGTGATACGGTCTAGTGTTCGGAAAGTTGTAGCATTTGTAGAAATGTGCTTTTCTCTCTCTCTCTCTCTCTCTCTTTCTCGTTTGCCATTTCTCTCAACGAGTAACGCGAATGAACTAGCTATTCCGTCGATGACTTGCGATTTCGCAAGAAAACAACCCTGAGGGCGATACTCCCTTTCTCTCGAAGCGCGATAGCTACTATCAAACATTTCCAGATACTTTTTGTCTCATTGTTTCACGAATTTCCTTCTTTCTCTATCCGAATTCTATGTTGCGGGACTGATTCCACAAAGGCGGCACTGCGGCAGTTTTCCTTCGGAGAAGCTTCCGTGAAGAGAGAGGGCTATCAAAAAGCACCGTCATCGTCGTCGGCGGCGGAAGTTCTCTTTCCTCTTCTCGCATGAATAAAACAACCGGATTTAATATATATATTATATTTCGCGGTCGCGGATGGCGAGCTTAGAAACGCGCGCCCCGGTGAAACGACTTCCGCGTGCGTTTCCTGAGCGGCTCGAGAGGCTGCGGCCGGTCGCCGAATAGGAAGACACGGAAGTTGAGATCCACTGCGCAAAGATCTACGAATCTCAGACCGTACGAGCTGCTGCAGACGACGGTGCATCCCTTATCGTGAAGACGGGTGAGGGGGGAGGGAGGGAAAGCGTCGCGAATTCCCAAGATCCATTACCATGTAAATATTGCATCGAGTTGCCTCTCACGGAATTTTACGGCCAGTCGCACGCATTATACCATTCCTATTTTAATTCGTGGCATTACCTACTGTGTGCCGTCGCAATAACGCGACACGAGAATATACTCGGTTTGTGCGACAGTATTTGCTCTTTGAAAGAGCCTCGCAATTTTTTTTTTTTTTCATACGTTAACAAAAAGTTTTATAATATATCTGTGTATAATTTACGTGTATATAAAATATTATTCTATTGAAATATTACACTATTTTTGTATAAAACTGTTTTTTACTAAACTTTGAAATCGATTGTTTCAAGAAACGCTCTAGGTGGTAAACATGTGTGTGTGCAACTATATTTTACACCATAATATGCAATATTTAAGAAAACATGGTTATGTCATAATTAATACTTTACATTTTAACTCAACACAATATAATCAAGAAACACGATAGTGCTTAGCGCCAAGTTCACGCGCAACGAAGTCGCGCTCTTACTTTAGTCACGTGTCTTCAAAAACGTGACTTAATTAAAGTCACGTGACTTTAATCGCGTGTTGTTTTTTCCCTTCTCCCTGTCACGTGACCTTACTTTAATCACGTTTTTAAAGACAAGTGACTAAAGTAAAGTCATGTGACTTTAGAGTCACGTGTTGTTTCCCACTCTTCTCTAATTTTCAAATTTGATTTTCATGCGTTATTTATTTATGTCTTTAAAGAAACAAAGTGAGAGAGAGATAAGTACATTGGATCTTATATTTCCGGTATCTTATTTGTATACTACCGTCTTTGATGTTTTCTGCATTTCTATAAGTATGCAGCTGCATGCGAGAGTCCGCGTACATATTTGCATGCACGTACTTACTTGGCTAGATTACTCGTGTACGGATTACGCGTTTAGTTTATGGGAATATATATGTATATATATATATGTATACTGTATGCGCGCAACAAGAAGTATCGCGTGTCTAACTATATATATTCGGCTACTTCGGTATGCAGCTGAAGTCACGGAGAGAGACTCCGCGCTTACTCCGAAAGTATAACGGAAGGTGAGCGTTAAATCGGATTACCCGGCATTACCCTCCAGCGGGAAATAAATGAAGCTATTCGCAAAACGCGCGCCGATCGTTCGTTCTATTTCCGTGCGCGCTCTCACATGAGTGACGTGTGACAATGTAAATTTCGAAGTTCGCGGATCATCCTTAAGATAATAAAGTTAGATAATAAAATTACGGTATCGCTATATCGTGTCTGGAATTTCTGAAGGAGTTTTTTTCTTTTTTCGCTACTAATCTGCCGGTCATATCTCGCGCGAGTAAAGGTGTTGTATTTCTCTCTCTCTCTCTCTTTCTCCGATAAAAAATAAAATTCCACATTGGATAACTCCGTTACTTTGGATATTATCGGAAGCTGATTGATGTTACTATTTATCTACATCTCGGTTGCCTCGGCTCTGCTACCCGTAATATCACCGTAATTTAATCTGGAAACAGTTTCTCTCGGTGTGGCTCTCGCGCACCGAGATCGATATCCGTATGTATACCGGCGCCAGCTTTCGTCCATCAATACTTGTTCATACTAATAACGTTTGCTTACTCTATTTCAGGTAAGGATCTAACTTTCGCCAGTAACAACGCGGGTGAGTGTTCACATCTAACAATATTCTGTGTTTCTATTGCCGCATGCGCCAGTCTCAATTGTTTTGTTCGTGACAAAAGAGTGACAACCAGAGTTTCCACACACTCGTGCGTTTTCGAAAAGTTGGCGAAGTTAAGAGATTAGACAAAAAACTTGTGTAAAAAACTTACGTAATTAAATAATTAAAAGTTATTAGAGAGTTTCCGTGCGATCGTCGAGTCAATATCGCAACATTGCGAGAAAATAAAATTATCGTTTATTTTCGTCCGCGCAGGAACGACGCCGTTAACCGCGCGCACTTTTAACTTCTCATCCGAACTTCTTGCAATTTCCGCCGCGCCGCCGGTCCGCCGTGTGGAAGGCGGCTAATATCTTCCTTTGACTCCGTCTCTCCGGGAAAGACCAATTCACCTAAATCCCCGTGTAATTCGCCGAAGATTCCCCGTGCGTCGGATATCCCGCAAAGGAGGAAAGAAACATTCTTTCGCAAAGAGACTTCCATCGTGCGCGCGCGCGCGACATGGAGACCGGCCTTTCAACGGGGACCTATCGCTCGCAGAAGCGAAAGAAGAAGAGAAGCCGAAAAGGAGGAGGAGAAAGAAGATAGAACTCGCGCACCGCCGAGATAAGGACGGCAAATTGCAGGCAATCTGGCTGATTAGGCTCCGGGATAGTAATTCCGGAGATCCTGATGCCGGGAACTGTCCTATTGGACCGCGCGCGAGTATCGGACGAAGAAAGCGGAACGAAGACGACGGCAGATCGAGGAAGCAAAGACGGAGACTCGTCGAGCGAGAAAAGCGACGTCTGTTACATCCGCACCCGTACCGGGAGATTAGGATTCTTCTTGAGAGGGATAGAGAGAGAGAAAGAGAGAGAGACAGAGAAACCAGAGGTAAAATTGCGAGGAAAAGGAGTTTCTTTTCATGCGCCAGATCGACGATACGTGCGCTCTCGCGTATGCTGTCTCGTCCCGTGTTCTTCGTTTCCATATCGCGTGTCCTTTTGATATAGCGCCATGAACTTCTTGCGACGCGAAATTACGACGTGTTTCCGTTCCCGTCGAGCATTGTGCAGACCCTCGTCGTTCTTCGCGGCGATCGCTGATTTCGCAGAATGTAAGAAAAAAAAAAATACAGAAAAACACATTTTATCGGTTAATGCGGCAAGTTGGCGAATTTGTGGAGAATTCTGTTTTCGAGACAAATTTACATACGAGGAAAAAAAGGAAACAGCGCAGAGCAAGTTTTTTAAGTAAATAAGTGTAATAAATAAACAAACTCAGATAAATTTTTGCGGTCGCGTGTATGTAGAAAAGAGGGTGTGTATCGAGCGAGCGACGGCGCGTTTGCGTCGCGAGAGAAAAGTTAAGTTACGCGGCGCCGTATCAATTTTCCCCTTCGCCATTGCTGGGTTGCTATCCGCTCTTTTTTTTTTTTTTTTGCTCCAGAGCAATGCATTTAAATTATTTATAATGGGGACTGCTTTTTCAATCTACGTCAACGAACGGTGGACGGAAGAGGAATGGCAGGGAAGAAATATACGCCACGAGGAGTGCCGTCGCACGAATTAATGTTGCCGCGCAATCGTGGCGTCCATATTGTCGCGCGATTCACGGTTCTGCGCTCGAAGAAGTGAATGCGCTTACATATTTATCAGCGACATCTCAAGTGTCACGTAATATTACTTTAATGAATAGTAACGTATTAAACAAGAGCAAAGTTCGATAGCGATGAGAAATAAAATACACGAGAGGAATTGTTGTAACGATAAAAAAAAAAAAAAAAGCAAGCGAGCTCTGCATTTAATTTCCATTGTTTAATTTCCGCAACAATTAAATCAGACACTCTGGAAAGGTTACGCGCGTACTTTGCGTTTTACAAATAGTTTTAATAATCCTTTTGGAAATGAGAGAAATAACAGAAGATGGTTTAATCTTCTTTTCTCTCGAGTTTCTCTGTTCTCTTTTAATTTTTTTCTTTTAAATATTAAATAACAATAATCTTTTTGTTTTATATATATATTTTATAAGTTTCTTATAAATTAAACAATAACTAACTTTATTTCTGAGAGAGTATAATATGACAGTAGTTCCATTTTTTGAATTATCGCAGACATTTGTCTTTTTCTCTCTCTTTCTTTCTCTTTTATTTATTTTATGAGAAACAAATTGAAATGACATATATAATAATTGAGAGATGTTGCAGCGATATATGTCTTAACACATAAGAGATATTTTCTCTCGCGTTATTACTTGTAATCCAGAAAGTCAACGATATCTCTCTCTCTCTCTCTCTCTCTCTCTCTCTCTCTCTTTCTGGCACACTGTAAAAAAAGATTATAAAATCTACGCGTGGACGAAGGTGGTAATAGAATTTTGGAAAAAGAGAAAGATGAGCACGGGAGATGCTGCCTCGGCCACGTCCACCGTGGGATTATCGGGGTCGACAAAGGGATTTTAAGGGGATGACGTGGGATTGGATCGCGAGAGGTGCGCCGCGAGGTTCTCGAGAGCCGCTTTGTGTCTCAACTATAATTATTATTTGCGGGATCGTCGAGAGAAAGAGAGAGAGAGAGAGAGAGAGAGAGAGATCCTAGTAGTTGCAAAATTGCATTCTATAAAAAGCGCATTTTAAATATCAGGAGTTATAGAGCCGCACTGCGCACACGGTCAAAGAGCATACTAATTTTATCTCTGAAATAGTGAGAAACTATCTTCACTTCGAGTACTTAAATATCTGAACAGATATCGACAATATTTTACCGTTTCTTTAAATGTAAATTTTTTTTGGATATTCCAATTTTGTTACGTACAAGGTTGCATTGCGCGAATTTTATTTAATTCTTCGAGAATTTTTACGAAAAATCGAACCGAGCCATTTTTGCACAAGATCTTTCAATTAATACAATCGGAGTTAATTAGTCGCAGCTCATTCGATTCCTCGCTCGTGTTCTTTTTTTTTTCTATCTTGTCGACTCACGGCGGCCGTGCACCCCAACGGCGACCCTCGAAAAAAACCCGCTTGCTTGCAATTTCTCGTTTTCGGTGGTCGGTTTAATTAGAAGGCAACGGGGCGTTAAAGCAAACGAACGCCGCTGGCCGTTACGCGATCTTTTCCTTTTGCCGGCCACGCGGCAAACTTCATTCTTGCTCGCGCGGTCTCACTCTGTATATAATGCTTCTGAAAAATTAATTACACATGTCGCACGCGGCCACCAGCAGTGTTTTCGGTCTCCTTTGACCTTTCTTCCATGTTTCGATTAAATTCGCGCACAATTGAAATCTAAATATTATCAACGATCGTATCGACGATATAAAGGTATATAATGTGACTTCAAATACTAACGTTTAAAGTAGTTGCGAAAATATTCACCGCATTCGAATAGGATATCACCGGCGCATATGCATATATTCAATACATCGATATGCCACGTATTATGCATTTGCATATTGCAAATGGACAAAGTTAGCCCGCGGTTAAAATTAAACCGAAACGTTTGAAGGACAAAACGTTTTGCGCCGCAGAGAGAAATAAAAGTCACACAGCGAAATGAAAGTTGATCGTGCGGGGATAGAGTGTATTATAGTTTGACCGGAAACAGGCGGAGGAGTGCTATTGGCTGCGCCGTATCGCGTAACACGATCGCAAAGAATTCCGCTTTCTCTTCCTCGCATGTCGGTGACACCGAGCGGATTTGTAGAGGAATTGCGGAAAGAGTATAGAGAGAAAGAGAGAGAGAGAGCGCAGGAAAAAAACCTTCCTCTCCTGGCAGATAAAACACGGATCGGCGGGACCACCACGCGGGCGGAAGTGGAGAGAAGAGAAGAGAAACCGAGCAAAGGGAAGCGGAAGAGCGGCGGCGAAACAAGAGGGTGCGCGCGGAGAAGGGACTGGAAGGGTCGAGCACCGGGCGTATCGGTCAAATTATCGAGTGGTACGTTACGGTTTTATGCAGATTCGCCAGAAATGTTCGGGCAGTTTCGGAATTAATGGCGGCCGGACAAATGTTTCGCGGTTTTTCTGCTGAATTATCGTGCCCACGGCGCAACATAACGCGAGCGCGAGTGTATGTGTGTGTATATATACGTTACACCGACACACGCGCGCGCACGCACGCACACATATGTCGGCGAACGTCGCGGCACGGTACGGCGTACTACATGCGCCACCGGCGGAATCGGCTTCGGGTAATGTATACATTACATGCACGGTCGTCGCGGCACACCCGGTTACAAATGCCGGTATAATGCGCCGGAATATGTCCGTTTTTGCCTAAAGCTCCCAAAGTGCTCGTACAGACACACGCACACTACGTATATACACACACAGCGCGTCGAGAACTTCGAGCGACAATATGGATGAGCTGGCTTATCCGTTTAATTCGAGACAGTTTCAATTACCGATCCGATGGACTGATTACTTCAGAGGAACGACGCGAAAGAACGTACTTCTCGATTCTCTCAATCCGTACTGACAACACAATGAATGTGTGTATTATTAAATTTCCTGATTACAGATATGTATTTGTTTTCACGTGTAAAAATAATACTTACATGTATTACATGGATTTAAAGGGGGAACAATATTCGAAAAAATTCATTGAAGCGAATGCTGAGCGGAACTTTTTTACAAAAAATAACTCGAGATGTGAAAACCCGTTGCAAACGCGAAAAACAAAATTCGGAAGGAAAATACTAGCGAGCAAAAGTTTTTTTGCGTCTAAATTTTAACCGCTCGAAAACGTTAAAAATGTACCGTTCAATTACAACGGGATCGTCAAATCGGGTTTATTCGAAAAAAAAAAGAAAAAAACACCAGCAATACGTCCTAGACAAAAGTATAAAAATATATCCCTCGAGCGGCTGTATCGATAGAACGAGCGAAAATTTCATTCAGATAACATCCGCTTTTCACCCGATCGGGTCACTTAAATTAATTCTCCCGATCCCCTTGATTCCTCTCTCTCCCTCAAAACTGCGCGCTAGTGAGTGTTGTATCG